TTTCTCTCGCTCTCCAGACACCAGACTCTTGCGAGTCCTTTCTCTCTCAGCTACGTCCGCCGCCCGCCGCCCACCGGTTTCTTCCTTGTTCGCTCTTCCGTCCATTTTCATCTCTTTCACGTTCCACGGTTCGGTTCTCCAACGGCAACCTTGCTTTACTCCTCTCGCGTAGCCTTCGTTCTTTTCTCTCTCCCTCTTGCCGTCTGCTTTCCGCTTCTTCAGGGTCCACGAGTTACCAAACCTCGTCCCGTTCGCGGCTCTTTCGTCCCTCGAACCTGTGGTCCATGCTCGTGGACTTCTTTCCGACGCGAAGCTTCATTTCTCTTGCTGTCTCGTTGCGTCTGGAACAACCGAAATGGTTGGTGCTCCTTGGTGAGGATTGTTGCACGGGATGAACGTTCTTGACGCGACGTGGTCGGAAAAGTTCTGATCACATGAATTGGATGCTTGGAATTAAGGCTCCTAATTTTCGTGGAAATACTTATAGTGATTATATAGTGATGATTATTTAATATTAGAATTACCGAATAGTTAGAGTTACTTTGTATCATTTTCTCTAAACGTTGGGAGAGTACATTTTTTGAGATTTGAAATGTCTTCTGTTGTTGTATTAGTATGAATATTACTCTGTTTTATATTTTCTCATAAGAGTATCCTTATGATTTCAATCATTGTAAAATAGACATTTTCGATTGGGTGATTTTGATCTGTCTGGTAATTTTAGTGTTAATGAGAAGATTGTAAACGATAACATCGTGCATAGAAAGTTTAAAGCATTTTTATTAATGTTATGTAGTAGTTAAAGATTAACGTGTTTTGTTGGTTGAGTTTGATCATGATTGTACAGGTTATTTAGGATTTGATATCGTGCTAATTTCGGTTCGTTTTTGTGTTTGTCGTGTTACTGATGTTATATCTATTAATATGATAACACGTTAATTTATATATTACGTGTTTAATGGATACCGTTTTATCATTTCACGTGTCATTGGTTAATGTCGATGCGCCTGATAAAGAGAAAGTGAAATAAAAGGCGATAACTGGTATTGCACACGAACATATTTTACATTTACTATCTCCTGTGTATTTGACATACTCTCGATAATTTCTTGATTTATTTCGAAATGAAAACTGAAATTATATTTGTTAGAGTCTGAAATGGACTGTGCAATTAATACTGCTGTGGATAAAGTTCTGGACATAATCGTGTAATTTTTTTTACGTCCAGCATTTTAAGAAATAAACGATTAGAATATTAACGACCGGAATTCAATTGTTAACTCCATAAAATAGAATTTACTAATAATCGTAGTTCGAAAAAGTATATTAAGCAAGAAGTGTTATTAGAAAGACTTCAACCCGCTGTTTTACGATTACACTTATTAAATTCAGTCTAAAATATTCACTACGAATGTAACTTGATTTCATAAGGCAGAAGCATGAAGTACGACGATATTCTCGAGATTTCGGTGTTCAAGAATAATCGTGTACCTCATGAATCTAAACCAAAATTCGATTGAATTTCACTGAGGAAATCAAGTTTACAGAAACTCACGGACCATTCGTGAGGTCAACGAACTATATACTTCAAACATTTATATCTTTCCATGTAAAATATTCATTACAAACTGAATCCAGTATTGTATACCAAGAGTTAATTTAATATTATCAAATCAAACCACCTTGTTCCTTAATGTATACATATTTTCTCATTTAGTTTCAAAGAATGTCGTCACCTCATCAGAAAACGTTAAACATTTCTAACAAAAAGCTTTCGAACACAAAGGGTTATATAAGCAAACAAATAATACAGACGTTTCTTAATGTCCACCGTTGACAATGCTTCCAGCATTCCTCACCGCGTCGTAATTAATTTCTCACCCCCGTTTATTCGTTTTTCCATTTGCCCGGCCGTTTTTCCTTCTCGTCCAACTTATTCATTTGGTTATTGTCCCGTAAGACTCCTCCCTTTTTGCGCGACAACCCACGAATCCCCCGACTTTCGGGCGTAATTCCTTGTTTCCCCAAGTTTCTGCCGGGGTCCTCGCTTTGTCAGCACGCGATACCTCCGCTCTTCCGTATTACTCGGCTTCCCCCGTTGTCTTTCTTTTTGCGCCACCCTCCGCGCCGCTCCTTTCCGCTTCTCGCGCGCACCAACACAACAGACATCGTCCCGATACACCGTAGCTACCTTCTTTCCCAACATCCCCCTCTTCCCGACGCCTATTTCTCTTGTCTCCTCGTCTCGTTTCCCTGTAACCCCTTCCTTTCTCTTTCGCGTTGATCATCGTCCTACTTTCCTCGTCCGCAGGCCGTGTCATAGTCGCCGCGAAGCGGATTCGAGACTCGCGATACGTTTCTTCCGCGAGTCTGGCGCAACGCAAGGTCGTTTCGCTGAATTAACGCGATTGCGGCCAACGCGTGCATCATACTTCACAGCTCGCAATATTTTACTAACGAGGAAACTCAGGTGACCGATGCGCGTTGACATTGATGAAAGTTTGCAATAAATACCCTTATACACGTTGAAACACGATCCACGCGCGTTTTGCTGATTCGAGTCTCCTTTTTTATTTTCGCATCAGTCACGCTGACGCTACTAGGCTTACGGATCCTAGGACACTTATTGAATTTTATATACATTATTTGGTAAACAATCGTGTTAATGTTCCATACGCGCAATTTGATGCATATCGAATTGTATAAACATTGTTTGGTATTCATGTCGATTTTGATTAGTGTAATTAATATCCATGAATCCTAATTGTCTATGTTTAGAATTCAAATTTTTTTAAGAACAATAAGATTAACTGGACATTGAATATCTGTAAACATTCTGTTAACAGTGGAGACGATTAATCTTGATCATTCGTGTTTTCGTCTTTGTATCGTTACTCTAAACGTTCCTGCAGTTGTTTTTCTCGATTTCGTCGGTTTTTCAATTTTTGCAAGAACATTTTTGAATTCGGAAGAAGTTCAAGAAGATAATAGGTAAGTAGTGTACGCGTTTCTGCTTTTCGAAATAATATTTCGAACGTGCAGATAAATCGAGAAGCGCAGCGCGATTAAAGCAGGCGGCGCCGTCCAATTACAATGTTCGTAATTTCGTCGTCTTCTTTTTCGCCGGGCTTGAATTAATTCACGGTCGGCGTTCATTGAACACAATAACCCGACCAGAAAATGGGGAAACCCCGGTTTCGTCCTTTTTCCGTTCCGCGGATCAATGGGACGCTTTAAATGGATATAGCGGGGCGTAAATGCACGCAATAACACGGTCCACGGTTAAACAGAGGAAAGGTATCAAAGAACGTGCCTTCGAGGAGCGTGAAGCTGTAATTTATACGACGGGCCAGCAACCGACCGTGAGAAAAACAGCTAATATAACCAGTGAAACCGGAAAAATGGGAATTCTTAAACCGCAGGCATGATTAAAAACGCGTAGTGGGTATGAATTATAAAAAGCTTGATAAACGTTCTTCCGAAAATTCTTAAACTGGTGCTGCATAATATCGAAGCTTCTCGTCGACTGATCGCTTTACCAATTCATGCTTGTTGTTCATTACGATAAGAATTATTAGGAAACAGATACCTTTTTTGATATTCGAAAATAACAGGAAACTTGCGAGCACACGAATGTATGCATGAATCATTCTAATGTGAAACCACATTCATTTGACGCTATTGCAACGGAAAGGATACAATATTGGAAAAGCATTATTTTCTTCCCGGTAGCTCTTCGCAAGATGAAGATATTATTTCTCAATGAGAAAACGATTTACGGCTGGTTGAATTGTGGCTTTAATATGCCTTGCGTAAATTCTCTAGCGATTTCGAGTATGCGTATATGTACTACATTTCGATATATACACAGAATATTCAAGAGAAAATTCAAGCATTTGAAAAATATTATTCAAAGTATATAACACAAACTAGTCTCATATGGATATTAAATAAATATCTAATTTCCCTTTCAATACTTCAATGCTTCTCATACTTTACGAATCCCCTCGGT